AAAAAGAGGTAGTTGAATCAACAGTGCAACAGAACTTTTATTAACAAGTATAATCATTATTCATCATGAGTCCTAATGTGTGAGACAGTTAATATATATTTGCTCCAGTAACAATCTCCCTCTAAATAAGTGATGCTGTTGATACAGCACAGTGATATTAACTAAAATGGCTGAGGATTATGAAATATGAACTCTAATGTTTTAAACTATTGATAGTTTGTTACAGCTACAGTGGAGTCCAAAAGTCATCTGATTGTATGTCTGACATGGGGCAGAGAGTGTAATAGGACAGTGAGGGTGTAGGGAACAAGGAAGAGCACAGCTGATAAGACTGAACAATGTTATGGCCATTATGGACATTAAAAAAAATACTATTATCATATAATACACTGTGTCTATGTTCGGGAAGAGAAGATCTTCATGTGTGGACACTGCAGGTGGAGGTGGTGCAGGGCCTCCATCATTGCCGCAAGAGGTTGTGGGTGTCCCCAAAGATCCAGACCTTGGCTGGGTGAAAAAAACATTATACAGTAATAGAGAGAAATCTTATCAATATCATATTGTAGAGTATAGAGAAAAGGACAAAAGAAACAGCACTTTTATCTGAAAAAACATTATTCCCTCGTCTTAGTTGTAATAACAGTCTGCTGAACTGTTTTACATTAAATAACAATAGAATAGAAACTAATACTCAGTTTGGTGTCATTGTGCAGGTGCACATGTCATGATGGTTCTCAGCTCTCAGTGATGTTCTTTATTCTGAAACAGACAGAATCATTCTAACAGATGTTTTGACTCCATAGTTACGTAATGAAATTAATGTCAACCTCATGGTGGTACTAGAGAAGAAGTCAACAGAGGCTAAATCATCTGGAGAACATGAACTGTAAATTACTCTGGGTTGTTTGTGTTTCAGCTACTCTTGTTTGATGTTTTGTAGATGCTGCAAGTATTCATGCTCTGGTTAGCTGTAGAGGTTGTTTTGCTGCTTTACATTGGAAGAGACACTAGACAGTACAGGCGTTTGTTTTGTCAGCAGCTGTCCTTACAGCGAAAATGTGTTGGAGCGGAATGACACAGAACGTCGGATGAAATTCATCAAAACCTGCTCTCTCTATGCGAAAAAAATCCTGCTGTTACAGGCTGTCGTATCAAGAGAGGGATCACAAACCGACATACTGTATGCTGCAGAGCTAATGTAAAAGCTGCTGTGAGGTCCGCGTTGCAGCTATCAGCCCTCAGGATCAGGCCTGCAGGCAGGCAGAGTGATCACTGGTGTCAGATCTGAAGCAGCTGCTCTGCACTGTGGAGGGCTGACTCTCACTGTGGGCTATTGAAGCTGCTGTCTGCTCTCCAGGCTGAGGAAGTGGGAGAAAAATCCCTGGCTGTCAGGAACTTTTCATACATAGACAATCCAGTATTTTTTTGATTATGTTTCAACCAGTCAGACATATTCTCTTATTATGAGAGAAGCTGTGGAAGTTAGAAATTCTTGGATTTTTACTATATAAATCTCCATTTTGATGCTATTTATGCTCATTTCTCAGCGTTTTTGCAGTCAGTAATTCTCTTGTTCTTGAAGGTTTCACTGTCACAGTTTTATAAATACACATCCACAAGGGATTCATAGGACATACTGCATGATCATACCAGACAGACAAAAGCTTTTATTTTGGAGGAGGAAGCATAGAGGTTGTTGACTGTCTTCAGGTACTCTATTAATAATCACAGTGTGTTTACTGCCCCCAGTGGTCGATTCATGTCTCATTTTTAATGTAAACAAACATTTGGAGCTCGGAGTTTGAATATTGAGCTTTAATCGTGGGCTACACAGCTGCTTCTCTAAGTGAATCCTGACAGTAAATTGTACTGAAGTGTGTGTCGAGAGTAAAAGAGATGTTAATGTCTTCTTGCATCACAGTTTGAGGACTATTATAGAATAGAGGGAAGGATGTGAGGAAATATGCTGTATGGTGGACTGAAAGAAAGGAGAAAAGAAAGAAGAAAAGGATAGAAGGAATATAGATCAAACAAATGAATCAGTGTCATAATCAGGAGTGGTAAACTCGCGATTCAGGAATCTCTGTCTCTACTTGGAAGGAATACACAAGACCATGACTTGGCGAAAATGGAGAATATTTACTTTAACTAAATAAGTAATTGAATAAATGAGGCATTAGTAATTAACACAAAAGAAAGATGTCAGAATCAAACAGATGAATAAAGTTTATATTTGAAGGCAGAAATGAAGTGGCCACTTGGTTTGGCAATAGTCAGAGTTAACAGAGAAAGGTGAGACAACGCTCCCTGGGATGCAGCAATGAGGTTCAGATAATCGGATGCTCAGCTGGTCTGGCAACCTCAATCCAGGTTGGATGGAGCACTAGCCTTAGGGTTCATCTATCATAAGCAGGCAGAAGGAGACTGTCCTGTAAAAGACAAGCCCATAGGTCGTCTGTGCAGCAGGTTATTATGACCCATAGTTACGTTTTGTTGGTAGGCGACATCTAGTGGTCGTAGTTATTATGAAACAAGCAAAGGGAAAAGTGCAGTGATGTAGTATAAAGAGAGACAAAGTCCAAATCAGGAGGAGGTTGTGGTATGACACATGAGAGCGGTGTTCGATTCCCATGTGAAAGTATCAGTTTATGTTTATGTTTCTATGATCTATGACTGTTTTGCCAAGTTAACCACATTGTTATTATTGTGACCATGATAACAACGATTGTCTAATGTTGAGGAAGTACTTATTTTAACACAAATCATCATCTTTTCCTAGACCTAACCAAGCAATGACTGATATTATAGTAACCATGGTGACAAAAGAAGGTACGCCACTCTCGGTGCAGTCCACTTGATTATCATTGAAACCATGACAGCAAGGTCTGGTGTGACTGCTGAAGTAGGGGGCGCTGTTTCAGGAATCACTCCTATGGGTTGTATCAGAGGGTTGACAAAAAAAACAACCTGTATGGTTGTTCAGGTTGGAGGAGCAGTTGCTGCTACACTCACTTTCCTTAACTAGACTCATTGAATAGTCTGGAAAGTGATCTTGTTGACTAGACAACCTAAGCAAGACTTATTAAAGGACAACAATATAAAACTTTGTCTCAGTTTGGTACTGAGTTACAAACTGATGCTTCCTTCAGCTAAAGACCAAAATGAACAAGCAGATAAAAAAAGAGGAAACCTGTTGCAGGATAAGACTGGAGAAGAGGTTCACTGACCATGTACAATAAAGTCTGTTTTACCTCTGCTGCAATTTAATTATCATGACCAAACATCGGCCTCTTCGGGTTAGAGAAAATGCTGATGTTCTTTTGGCATTTGGCATTTTTATTGAGAGAGGGGAGGCCATTTTGTAGGTCTGAGGAGAAAAGTTTTATTCAAACCCACCATTTATGTCCTTGTGCCCTCACTACACCTGAGCTGGTGTTTAGGCTCTAACCTTGTCACTTCCTGCCAGCACACATTTAAGAGCTTAAAAATCAGGGACCAGGGAGTGATGATAACAAGCTTTCTGTCTCCAACCTTTCTCACCTCTTCAGTATTCACCTCGCCACAAAAGTGCACTTCCCACCTCTTTACCTCTCACCTGTCTGACCTCACCTGGGAGCTTTTGTGGAAGGGCTGGAGAGTGCTCTTTTCTTTTTTTTTTTCTTCTGGTTTCTCTTTTGGTCTTTTATTTCATTCTGTACCAGACTTTCTGTCTGTTGTCTGTCTGAGTTCAGTTTATAAGTTTAACATTACCTCGACGTCCAGAAATATTTAGTATCCTACTGTCATAAAGAAATGAATGCAGGAGTGGATTCTAGAGACAACTGAAGTTATAAAACCTTTACTTTATCACACATGTCAATTTCAAACATTTTTATATGCCCTCATTAGTGTTTACCTCACATCGCCACATAATACAAGTCTAATCTAAACAGAAACTGAGTTTTAGTTGCATGAATGGAAGAAAACTAATCATTTCACTCTGCTTCATGCACGTTAAATTTTCATTACCTTAATGAGCAGAGAGAAATTGCATCCCATGCATATATATGGATATTCAAGTAAACAGTGACAGAATTTTTTTTTTAATTCCTTTTGAGTGAACTACTGCAGATTTTTGGAAAACTCAACTGTCCACTTAGTAATTATATGAAAAATCTATATTAAAAATATATCCTCTTGTGTTAAACATATAGACTGTAAAAAAAGATGTATGTAGCCTTTATGACATCACCAATAGTTTCCTGAAGAGTGGTTTTGAGGCTCAGAGTGAGCTGCTCTGCTGTTGCCATCTTGGCAGTGTCTGACTCTGCCTAACTCTCGACTAATCCAAAAATGGGCAAAGAGGTGGAGCAGAGGCTTTGGTATATGCCGGTTTGCGGCAAGCATACACCTGTCACTCAAAGAGGCCACACCCTCAATTATGCTGAACTTAACGTATAATGATGCATAATGAAGTAACCCTAATAAAATGTAAATGGGTTCGTTTTCACCCCCGTACAGTTGTCATGAAGGGGCAAATTAGCTATAGAGACATAAACACTTTCTTGTACCAGGCTGTAAACATGTTTATTTCTGCTCTAAAGTTGGACATTTTAACATGGGAGTCTATTGGGATTGACTCACTGTTGGAGCCAGCCTCAAGTGGCCATTCAGGGAACTGAAGTTTTTGTGTTGGATTTATTTTCTTTCCCTGAAGGTTGCTGCTTGGTCAGACCATACATAGGAAACCATGTGCTTACATGTTAGCATGTTCTCAGAAACACTATTCACTGCATCTGCCATAGATGATTGTCGTTGCACTAGTATTGTAGCACATAAAATTAAAAGGAAGTTGCAACCAGTTTTCTGGGAAGTTGGATGTATGATACAATAATATAATTTTTGACAACTGAGACTTTTACTCTTGGGGAGGAGTTTCATTTAATTACTGCTCTCTTTTTCCCTATCCCCATCCTCCACTCTTCTCCTCTTCCTTCCTGCCTCCTTCTCACTGTCATCAGTGGGCTCCAGACAGATGAAGGCCTCCACCTGGTGGAGATCCTGGCTGGCATGGCCAAAATCCAGATGACGGACTTCGCAGAGCTCTCGTACGTACACATTATCTGCTTTTTTCTTTTTCTTTTTTATTTGTCACACTCTTGCACAGTGCCCTGTCCTCCTTCCAGTGTTAATGCTGTTCATTCTCATAGAGTGAGCGTCTAACCCTAAAGCTGGTTTTTGTTTCTCGTGGTAAAAACATCTCATTTGTCCATTTATGTATTGGATTATCATTAAAACCACAAACCTACACGTTTGCTGTGTTTGCTGCTACTCTGAATAATCTGTTGCTATTGAGAAATGTTGATCAGGCTGCACCTGTTCTGGTTAAAAATGCCAATACTGTATATAGAATCTGTTCAAAACAGAGCCAGCACACTGTAAGTGACACATTTCACACCATGAATGTATTTTAACAAGCATAAACCAGGCAAGATTAGTGGAGCATCTTCTTATTCAAAGAAATGTCAGCCTTTCACAAGTTCAACCACAGACAACCTGCAAACCTTTGGTCAATGTGGAGAAAAACATGGTACAAAAATATACAGATGTCAGTTTTAATGAATATTGTTTCAGTCTAATATATCTATTTAAACAAAATCATGATCACATATAAAAACTCTGGAAGCTCAGACCTCCACTAAGTCTGCACAATCCTTGAAATTTCTTACTATAATTACAGTTCTTACAACTATGACTATACAGTATATATATATTTGTATGTGTGTGTTTGTGTATATATTCAAAGAAATATACAAAAATTAAGGGGGACAACACAATATATAATCAAATCTACTTACACAAGTCAACTGCCTATGAATTAAGGAGTGACTGAAAAGGCTCAGGCCAAAGCAAAATGCTTGTATATACCTGCCTACACGAACATTATCCCCTGAAGGACTGAATGATGACATGTCATGCTCTAAGACGTTGAGGAACTTTATAGATTTATCTATGGCACACTCAAGACACCAGTAGGTGATATGTTTACATACTTTGAATGACTTATAAAAGCTTCAAAGCTGATGTTTTCATTCAATAGATTGTAATTTCTGTAAAGAATTGTCACACACCTGGGCACGCAAGATGGGTGAAGCATTACATTTTTACGATCGTTGTTGTAAGAACTGTTTAAGACTGAAATGTTCGGTTCATCAATAAATTGTGATGCTGAGTAAGAGCAGTGTGATGATAAAAAATGCCATGATCATCTCAGTCTGTGTTTTGACCCCAAACTGTGTCAAAAAGCACTAAAAGAAAAGTCCTCACAATGTAAGTGGGTCAACACGGCCTATAGTAGACCAGCACACACACACACACACACACACACACACACATCAGCAATGTGCAGTCTGTTAGGTAAAGTAAAAGCATTTAAATTATAATGTCCTTCTAAAACTCCCATTACCCTGTGATGTAACAGTCCCTCTGGACATGTAGTCCTGCCAACTGTCAGACAGCCAAGCAGTTCAATTAAATTAAGAATTACATTTGGAAAAAGCTTCAAATTCGTCACTGTAACATTTCGAAAACCACAAACGTCTCTGTCTTCAGACTAGAAAGACTGTAGGAGCAGAGGTGTGTTGATGACTCATGTCCATAGTGCGCTTTACATTCTCATCAACAGTCACTTCCTACCTGTGGGCTCGAGTGGGCGGCAATTTTCTCAAAGGACGAGTGTCACATACTGAAACTTTTCAGATATTCCCCTTAGATTGAGCGTTACCCCCCACCCCCACCCCCAAGAGTGTCAGATCAGAGAGGGCAAACTGGTGGGATCAAAACAGAGAGATCTTCCAGTAGTGCAGGACGTTAAAATCAGAAGTGGGAAAGAGAAAGAGAAAACACTGCCCTTACGGAATAGAAATCCAAGGACGTTGTCTTATTTTCATTCTGTCAACATATTTTCCTGCTCTAGGGGGAAAGAAAGCAATGAGGAGCTGCTTGTCCGGTTATTGACATGTTGGAGTTGAGCCGCTACTGAATGCAATCATTTATTAATGAGACTGAACTCTGCCTGAACCCTCTCTCACTCTCTCTCTCTCTCTGTCTCTCACTCATTCTGTGATTATCTGTTTCTCTCAGTCTTTGCCTCCATCTATCCCTCCGTTTCCTCTCCTCCTTCCCTCTCACATCTGCTTCTTTCTCAGTTTGTCTCACTTTATTTCTGTTTTCTCTCTCGGTGTCTTTGTCCGTCGTCTGTCACTTTCAACCTCTCCCTCTCTCCCTTTTCAGAGTTGTTGCTATACTTTAGCACAGGTGACTTTGCAGTGGGTTGTGAACATTTTCAATGCGGCTAGCAGCAAAACAAGTGCTGCTGCAGTGGATACAGTTGATCACACTCCTTGGGATTGTAGTCGGTATACGGAAGGTATATATGTGTAAATAAAATTCTGACAAAAGTGTAACAAAACAGGAATGATAATATTATACAAGTTAAAGCTCCATATTTTCCTCTTCTGTGTTTTATTTGAAGTGTTTATCCATAAGAAGATATATTTGTGGTTTTAAGAACCAAAAACCATCTCAATGTAGTTTCACATCTCTCTCAGGCTTCTCTCTGGAGCTCTAGTAACAACAGGTCAGTGAGCCAATCAGAAGAGAGGAGGCTCTGTGCCTCTCTTCTGATCAACTGACTGTTTTCTGAGTGATTGAATGAAAATATAGTAGATTTCAGGTAAACACTCAGAGAAACCAAATCCTGCAAGGTTAGATGGTGGATCCAGGTGGGCGGGGCTTGGGGCATGGCTGAGAGCGGTGACTGCTTTGTTGTGACATCATAAAATTACAGAAGTCCTGACGGCTGGTTTTAAGGCTCAGTGTCTGAATACAGGCTGTGTGCATTTCTCTGTGGACTGAGGCTTTGATACTTTCACAGTATTAATATAGAACCTAGACCTGCTTTATAATCAAACAACCTTTATACTATATGGAGCTTTAAATGCTGCGATCTGACAACAAGGAATAGTAGCTGTTACCTCTAAAGTAAACGTCACAGTTCTCGCTTGACCTTGGAGATAATAGTTTGATGAAACAAGTCCAACTCAAGTTCCACTTACTAGCTTTCATTGGGGCTTTTAACCATATCATAGAGTCCTTATCAGAATAATCATTATGCCTTTTTTTCCCCACAAAGTTTTTTTCTTTTTTGCCAATATTTGATACCCTCAGCTCTTTAGGCCCTTTGGTTGAACTGAGCACTTTGGGTATGAACTATAATAAAAGGTAACAAGTAGCTGTTGCTTGTGTTTGTTGCTGCCTTGGTCCCAGATTTCAAGAAATAAGTTGAGTACAGTGAAATGAATACTGATAGTAATGATAGTCAAAACTGAAAATAAGACCAAGCTGTAATAAACTTTTGCTTCTAACACTGAAGTTACTAAAGTTGACTTGCATTGTACCTCACACACAGACAAACACACACACACCACCCCAGCCTATAATGCTAGTCTTCACAGCACCTCCAAATTGCCAGGAAGCCAATCAAACCCATGAAATAGAACATCACAACATCTTGCTCTGTCTTCCCCCTCCAGCTGTTTTGGTCTCTTTTTTAGTTGTTGTTGTTTTCAAATTATCTTCCTTTTTCCAATTACTTTCCTCCATGGCTGACACTGTGACCGTTGCTATGCACCCGTTCATCAAAGCACCAGCACCTTTTCCCTCAGATGCATACTCCAAAGACCACAACTGATGGTGACAAGTATTAGCAAAGTATGACCTGCTACTCTTCTAAAGCATCTGAGAACCAAATCATTTTACAGTACCAACATTTCCACTGTCCCAATTTTGTCTTAACTGCCTTTAGTTTTCATCCTTTTTCTGTCAGTTTGAGAACCGCTGCTAAATGTTAACTGTAGCCTGTGCTGTGTCTCAGATCGGATACTTCAGTCAGTACACTCACATGTAGCACACCGTGTACACAGTATACTCACTGGTGTTGTGCCTGAATTTCTATCAAACACCGCTGTTGTGCAATCACTGCAAATGGCGATCACACCAGGTGACCGCGATTATCGCTCACCTGCCGGCCGTTTTCCTCACTTGACTTCAAAATTAATGTTTTACTTCCCTGTGCCTGTCCCTATGTCACACCACATGGAAATTAGGCCGCCATCGTCACTGACGACAAGGGTTGCCACCTTCTCTGTGAAGAAATAAGGGACGCCCAGCCCCTGCTGATGCAAAGAGAGAATTTTTGATTTCAGAATGCCAATACACACTGTTTCATGTGCTTCTAACCCAAAATAACAAAAATATCAAGGGTAACAAAAAATGTAGCCTAATTCTGATTTATAATTACTATTTGAGAGGAAAGTCAGAGAGAGAGAGAGAGAGAGTGTGAGAGAAGATGCCATCCAGCAAAGGGCAACAGGTTGGACTTGAACCCAGGCGGCTGTGGTTAGTACTAAGCCTTCAGGGCATGCAATCTACCCGGTGAGCCACCGGGGCGTTGTACTACTGTCTTTATCTGTAGAAGGAAACCATACGTGTGTTTTCTCACAGCACACAGCGCTTGTCAGTCTCCTGCTCATATAATAAAAACTAAACCTGTAGGCTATAACTGCTTTGGTTTTACTTGACATCACATTATTCATATCACTTCGAGGACACAGTTTATTAATGAAATGATGTGTATGAAAATACAGGACACATTTTGTCCCATACAGGATTGGTGGCACCCAAATCAGTCGCCGTTTTCACAAGTACAACCTTTTCAAATACGCTGGTGGTCCCACACCTTCCGCTACAGCCAAGATGGTGACTGTTGAGGGTGAGAAATGACAGTTTTGAGTGCACCATGTTGCATGTTGCTGTACTTGTCAAAATAGAAAGTTTGAGTATGTAAGTTCATGAACTGAGACACAGCACCTGTATTTTGTTTAAAGTGGGAAAATGTCACAATGAAGTGTAGTCTCAGACCTCAAGTGCCCGGTGTTTTGGGTGTGGTGCATAGTGGACAGCTCACGAAATAAAACAAAGCAAAATAAAACATTAGTAAATCATATTTAAAAAAAAATTCTTTCTTGGTTTCAAATTTGACATTTGA